TCGAGTAAAAGAGGGAGAGCTTCCTGGCTTCTCTTCTTTTTGAAAGAGGTAACTATCCTGTTTCTCTATATAGAAAATCTATTTTTGTGTAAATAGGTAAACCTGTGACTATTCTGGCAGCTTCTAATTGGATTTTTTCTAATGACAGGGAATTTGTTTCACTACAGTTGCCACATACCTCACATGCATATTCAAGAAGTGGTCGGATATAAGTTAAGAATAATTTCTCTAAATTATGTCTATTCAATATGAGTTTTAATTTACTTAGGGTTGCAATATATTTTGAGATTTTACTAACAATATAATCTACATGTAGGTTCCATTTACCGTCGTTAGAAATAATAACACCTAAGTGTTTATGCTGATTGGTGATTTTGATAGGTATGTTGTCGAAAATGAAAGAGGGGACAAAAGGAAGTTGAAGATTTGAAATGATAAGGGCTTCGGTTTTTATGGGATTGAAGGACATCAGCCAATCTTTAGACCAAGTTTCAAGTTTTCGGAGATCAGATCTTGCTGCGGATTCAATTTGATTTAAATTACTAGAGGAATAAGAGAGGGATGTATCATCAGCGAAAAGTCTAGACAAGTTCGCAAGAAATATCATTTATGTACATTAAGAAGAAGAGTGGCCCAAGGACTGAACCTTGGGGTACACCGGTATTTATAGGTTTGTAAGAAATTTAGTCTGGACCTCGAATGTTTATTATTATTTGTTAGTGTCCCAGATTTTATGTATCAGATATTGTCAGTTAAAAGTTCCGATAGACGAGGATATAATTTTAGAAGAGGCTCGCCCCGCGTGCATCCCGTCTGAATCCAGTTGGTGCAAGTGATATCACTAAATGAACAATAAAACGGCACAGCAATCTTCCTTTCTTTGACTTTAACCAATTCTGTGCGCTCACCAACGTTTGAATTGGTAAGTGACATAGCATTAGGCACCTGTGAGCTATATTATGGACTCATGAGATACATAGCATTAGGGACCTGTGAGCTATATTAGGGGCTCGTGAGATACATGGCATTAGTGACATGTGAGCTATATTAGGGACTCGTTAGGTACATAGCATTAGGGACCTGTGAGCTATATTAGGGGCTCGTGAGATACATGGCATTAGGGACCTGTGAGCTATATTAGGGGCTCGTGAGATACATAGCATTAGGGACCTGTGAGCTATATTAGAGATACATAGCATTAGGGACCTGTGAGCTATATTAGAGGCATAGCATTAGGGACCTGTGAGCTATATAAGGGACATAGCATTAGGGACCTGTGAGCTATATTAGGGGCTCTTGAGATACATAGCATTAGGGACCTGTGAGCTATATTAGGGGCTCGTGAGATACATAGCATTAGGGACCTGTGAGCTATATTAGGGGCTCTTGACATAGCATTAGTGTGAGATATTAAGGGCATAGCATTAGGGACCTGTGAGCTATATTAGGGGCTCGTGAGATACATAGCATTAGGGACCTGTGAGCTATATTAGGGGACTCGTGAGATACATAGCATTAGGGACCTGTGAGCTATATTAGGGACTCGTGAGATACATAGCATTAGGGACCTGTGAGCTATATTAGGGACTCGTGAGATACATAGCATTAGGGACCTGTGAGCTATATTAGGGGCTCTTGAGATACATAGCATTAGGGACCTGTGAGCTATATTAAGGGCTCGTGAGATACATAGCATTAAGGACCTGTGAGCTATATAAGGGACTCGTGAGATACATAGCATTAGGGACCTGTGAGCTATATTAGGGGCTCGTGAGATACATGGCATTAGGGACCTGTGAGCTATATTAGGGACTCGTTAGGTACATAGCATTAGGGACCTGTGAGCTATATTAGGAACTCGTTAGGTACATGGCATTAGGGACCTGTGAGCTATATTAGGGACTCGTGAGATACATGGCATTAGGGACCTGTGAGCTATATTAGGGGCTCGTGAGATACATGGCATTAGGGACCTGTGAGCTATATTAGGGGCTCGTTAGGTACATAGCATTAGGGACCTGTGAGCTATATTAGGGACTCGTGAGATACATAGCATTAGGGACCTGTGAGCTATATTAGGGGTTCGTGAGATACATGGCATTAGGGACCTGTGAGCTATATTAGGGGCTCGTGAGATACATAGCATTAGGGACCTGTGAGCTATATTAGGGGCTCGTGAGATACATAGCATTAGGGACCTGTGAGCTATATAAGGGACTCGTTAGGTACATAGCATTCGGGACCTGTGAACTATATTAGGGGCTCGTGAGATACATAGCATTAGGGACCTGTGAGCTATATTAGGGGCTCGTGAGATACATAACATTAGGGACCTGAGAGCTATATTAGGAGCTCGTTAGGTACATAGTATTAGTGACTTGTGAGTTAATTTTGAAGACTTTCTCCTATTAAGGGCCAAACGTTAAAATTACTTTCATTTAATGTAACATACAACTGTATACACATGCTTGCGTGAGCAAAAATCTGTCTGTGAGTATGACTGCATTCGCGTAACCCGGTTGAAACGGTTCAGGTGGTCTGGAATTATTCCACTATACGCGAACGCGCTTGTAAAACTTAAAATGCACTGTCATGCATAATTCAATTAACTTAAATTAAGATACTCTATTTCTGGAAATATGTGAGTGCGCCGACCCTACTTTTTTTGCTGAAATTAAGAAAAATATCGATATTGAGCAAATCAGTTTCTAACAGATACGGCTGGTTCCGCAGTCTAGCCTCGATCCCGATCTGTACCTGGCGTTTTTCTCGCAGGTTCATCGGATCCAACCATTTCAACTGCTTACGCGAAAGCGCCCTTAATGATGTCGTGTCTTCGTATATTATTACAGTTAATAGTGCCTCGTCTTTTAAACAAAGGGAGACAACTCCTACAAATGTCAAATCTCAGTATAACGGTCAGAAGAGGGGGGAAAACTCGACTTAACATAATACAGTCCAATTACAAAATATTGCATTGAATTAGACACCTAAGGACACAGCTGGAATAGTTTGATTTTGTTTGGAAATTATTGACTTGATTTCGTAAAGCTGTTACTGGAGGAAATGAACATTTTTTCTCGTTTCCTTTTGTGTCAAGTTGTTGACTGAGCCGAGCGAGTTTCATAAAGACCTGACAACGCCCTCGCAATGGTGCGTTTTGATTGGCTGAAGTTGGGGGTGTGTCAGGTCGCTATGACTTTGACATATTAACCTAGATCTAGATCACAGTTTAGAACACGTGAGTGTGTTATGTAAATACACATTGCCCGAGAAATTTTTGTTATTAGTCCCCCTCTTGTCCTACATAGGAGATCGGAACACGACGGAGGTAAGAGTAAATTCGAAACATATTCTAGGCTTGATAGGCCCGTAGTTTTCATAACGTATACAGTGTTATCAGGGACTAGTGAAAAATGATGTGTTAGCATTAAATATGTTTTGATAGGAAAGGAGGAAATTTGGAGGTTTTTAATTATACAGAATTTTTGGAAGTAATTTTTATCTGTCAGAAACCACTCGAGTGCAATATGGTTTGTAAGCAGAATAGGATGTGCACAGCTTGTGGGTGTATGCTTCTCATATAGTTATAAATGGCTGTCAAGAAACATGTACTAATTAAGCCAGCGCTGCCGTACCGCTTAGATAGTGGATCATGTGTCCGGTATCTATTTCAGTCTCCATACATCAAAGCTATATCGGAAAAATCAATACGTTTGCAGAAATCAGAGATCTTTGATAAGACTTACACAATCTAAATTTACAATATTAGTCGCATTCTAAAGCTCCTTATGACGTCATAATATCCATGACGTTATAATAATGGGGGTTATTACACCAATGCATCTTTATAACCAGGTAGATATATATGGTAGTACAGACTATCATAACAGTTGGTTTGGTGTTATAATGTATTCCTATAAAGTTGTTTTGTAGTCATTTCGCCATGCACTAGTTACACCCGAGTCACAGATGAAAAGGTAAATAGCTTCATTTACGAGAGAACACGCTTAAGCCTGATATAATATGCCCCCTCCGCCTCCAATACGTTTTTACAATCTACTGTAACTATATATATATATATATACATATTTCAATCATATCAATAAACAATGTATCAATAATATTACTTTATTAACTTGATTCGTTTTCCTTAAAAGGTGGTTACAGACTTTCTTGATTAAAAAAAACATTCCAAATAGATTTTGATGTTTCAAATATCAAGGAAACGCATTAAGCATATGTTATATATGTTGTATCGTTTATGGTAGAGATTGTTGATTACGGGTCCCCGACTTTGTGTTGTTACGTCCTTTGGCAAGGCATCTTACCTGAGCCAATTCATCTAGAACGTGCGCGTCGGTCCTTCCATATGTTGTTCAATAAATTGGTCACTAGCTACGGATGTTTACAGAACTGTAAAACAACGTTACTTTTTAACGTAGTATTTTTTTTAATTATAAACAACGTACATAATGATAACAACGTACATAACTGCCTGATGTAGATATGTATATATCCTATATACATTAAGTCCGCGTGACATGAATAAACAAACAGTATAGTTTAATCGGTTGAACTCGACAAGAATGTTAGTTAACTACTAACATGAGTGTTTTTACCACTGGCATTTCCGTGACCCCTTTCCTGAAGCTATATATAACGTTAAGCTTAGGTTTATAGAATTTGGATCGCTTAAATTCGTCTCATTAACTACGGTTGCTTAAGACCGGCCTCCGGTTTATGTGTTTTACAGAGGCTCCGATATATTTGGTCGCGGTATCCAATTCCATACACGTTACGTTTGAATGCAATATATGGTTTCTTTCCCATCATATAGTTTAGCTCTGATGAACAAAGTCGGTAATCGACGTTCACGTGGTGAAATTCTATGACTCTTCTTTCTTCTGAAAATGTCAAGCTTCCGATACGAATTTTCTGCGGAGAAGATTTGTCAACTATTCAGCATGATGGTGTTTTTAAAAACATTTAAACATTTATCAAGTAATGTTGTATATCTCCATCTTTCCGTCGTCTGTCGGGATCTTCATCTTTCCGTCGTCTGTCGATATCTCCATCTTTCTGGCGTCTGTCGGCATCTTCATCTTTTCGTCGTCAGTCGATATCTCCAACTTTCTGGCGTCTGTCGGCATCTTCATCTTTCCGTTGTCTATCGGCAGCTTCATCTTTCCGTCGTCTGTCGGGATCTTCATCTTTCCGTCGTCTGCCGGTATATTCATCTTTCCGTCGTCTATCGATACCTCCATCTTTTCGTCATCTATCAATATCTCCATCTTCATCTTTTTGTCGTCTCTCGACATTTCCATCTTTTCGTCGTCAGTCGATATCTCCATCTTTCCGTTGTCTGTCGGCATCTTCGTCTTTCCGTCGTCTATCGGCAGCTTCATCTTTCCGTCGTCTGCCGGTATATTCATCTTTCCGTCGTCTATCGATACCTTCATCTTTTCGTCATCTATCAATATCTCCATCTTCATCTTTTTGTCGTCTCTCGACATTTCCATCTTTCCGTCGTCTGTCGACGTTTTCTTTTTTCCATCGGCTGTTGACACTTTCACCTTTCAATCGGCTGTCGGTATTTTTCGTTGAAATCGTAAACATTATAGTAGAAGAGACGATCTATGATTATCATTACGCATTCCAAATAGCTGTCTCTGATGTTACAACTTTTAGCTAACGCGACAGACGACGGCAACATGAAAATGTCAACAGATACCGGAAAGGTAGAGAAGATAAAGCATTATGACAATGCCAGTTTGTCAAAAGTAAAATTTTGGTTGAGTTTGTAAGTCTCTACATTATAAAAACATAAATCGTTTTAAGAACATACATTTCAGACTTGTACATGTATTGTCGTAAATCACGTACAGAAAATATTCAAGAAATCACAAAAATATTTTAGGCAATAATTTGTTTCATTCATTTGTTTTTATCTGACTTTGATTAACTTGTCAAGTTAGAATTAGACATATATATTATAATACTGGTTTGACTCTGGTTGTTATTCAAGGTGACCTTCTGTTGTAATGGGAATATATTTTAACGCAGTGTAAATGATAATGACATACATTTTAATGCTAATTTGTACCCATAACTACAACGACACATCCTTGCGTGCTTCCGGAGTAGACAGTCTGAATACCAGTACGGCCAATGTTTATTGTGTTATACGTTATTGAAGGGAAAAAAATAATGCATGTTATTGCCATAAACTATTTGTCTTTATTCTGAAGTGTTTATGATATTTAGAAAAAAAATTGTCGTAGATTACAAACTTAGATAAAGTTTTTTTCTTCTTGTTTTTTTCCCCGTATATTTGTTTACTGTCTGTAATTGATATCGATGAACGAACACTCTTCACTAAAATGAGTCAACATAATTTTTTATCTCTTCAATGACTAAATCGCATTATCAATGTTACCAATCCGTGATCTCGCACTGTGATCTCCGTTATCATCCAAATGATGTATTTATGTTCATCACGAGGTCCTTCAGTTATTTTGTCTGTCTCAAACCTGACACGTATCCACGATATTTCACAATAATTGTTTATCAGGTATTGTAAACAAACATTTCGTCAAAAGTGGCCCTGACCACAAGGCCTGTCCAATAATCCAGGTAGATAATACAGATATGACATATATCACTTTATGTCGCGTGCACGTATATGACCCGACCGGAATAGTCTGAGGTGAAGTGTTGACTTGTAGTATTATGTTTAAGAATTAACTTTAGGTTAAGGTAACAGCTACCAGAGTGGACATAATATTTCGTATTCCAATCCCCAGTCAGTCTTTTAGTCATGTTCTTATGTCCCAGGAGGCACCGGTCACAATTTATTTAATTCTAAGATATTTTTGTCCGTCAAGAGTTGTTGCCCTTAATAATTTTGATGGAGGAAGAATGTGGTGTAGGCTGGAATTCATACGCTATCTCTGTTGTATGGAGCGCAGATAAGTTTTGATAATGCTAGACAATATTTATTTAGAATAGGGAATCTGGATCACCATAACGGCTGCATGCTGAGGCTTAAAATGACTCTGTATGATAGTAGTCGTTACAAATTGCTCGAAGCGATAGATTTGGGATCCGCTTCAGGGCAAAGGGTTTTTTCACAATCTTATTGAGACATGGAAACGACAGAAATAATTTCGCTACCGCGATCATTTTGGATGCTTATTGTCTATCAATTGTCTGTTCGTGTTTCTCGCAGCTAAGGTCCAAGTTCCTCCGTCCTCGTCACCAGACGTTAGACTAATGAAATTTCACTGGTGCTAGGCCCGGACTGATGAAATTTGGACAAATGCCAACCAAAAATATGTATAGTAATGATCAGGACTGTACTGCAGTTGTAAACTAATACACAATGCACTTGTTTATGTCTGTACCGAGATATACTGGAATTTTGCCAACAATTGTTTGACATCACCCCGATCGGTGTTTGTTTTTAACAAGAGGCCAGCTATTTCTCTACCTTCTGGAAATATTGTCTGCAATCCATGGTTACCAGGTGACCACATGTAGACAATGAATGGAATTCGATTACCACAACAATCACGTGGTATTAGATGCACGTGTCTCAGGTTCACGTTTATTCCTGTCACGTTACTGACCAGTGTTTAAGTTTGACAATAATATAAATAAATCAGGACGTGAATAGTCTGGTTACTGTCTAACTATTCTTTAGATTTTACTCGCTATAACAGCCGACAGAATCCGCTTATTGAACAATTCGATCGAACTTTTTCTTGGCAGTATGTAAAATATAGGACACGGGCGCATGATACAAATCACTGCGAAGTCGTTCTTTTTCCGGACTTTTTCGTTGGTTTCTACGTCCACGAACTGTTAAAATCAGTCTGTTTATTTATTTATTTATCCACGAAATCAAATGTTCACGAAATAATGATTTTTGAAAAATCACGAAAATTGAATACCACGGAAAGATATGATTCTACAGTATACGTCCCTACATTTTTCAAGAATTGAAGTATTACTATCACACAGGAAAATAAATAAATTGGCCAACTCGTAACCAACCATATTTGCTTTGTATATTAAAATAGCGTATTATATAAAGGTCCGAGCCTTGTTGTTAAAAGTAATTCATATAAGTTTATTTCCTTATTGCTAATTTCCTAAAATTCGTATAATGAATGTAACGTAACACGACAACACCATTAATTATTATTCATATATTTTGTTACAGTTATAATAAAGAGACATAAATCTTATCCTTTTCACAATTATAATTTTTTTTAGATATTTTCTTAAACTATTCCACTTCCTCTTACAGTAAAAACGTCTTTGTGTTTCGTCACTTTATCTATGAAATATTATGATATACACGTAGCGGTATTTGCCTGAAATCAGCTTGCAGGATGTTTTACGTACGTTATATAGGCCATACGAGATAACGCCAGTTTAAAATTCTGGTTTCTGTGGAATACCGTCAACAGGTCGGTGTTTCCTGAGAGAACACATACTACAGCGGGCACAGATCTCGGTGTAGGATGGGAGATTTTATGTTTCACTCATCAAGAAACAAGTAATATTGTGTCCTTTTGTCCTTTTCATTGATAAAATTTGTCGCTGTGTCGATTAGTGTGATTTAGGAAGTTCTCCGCCATATAATATACTTTCACATTTGAGACTGTATTGTCCATTTTACTTGTACTGGAAAACTCCTGTAGAAGCAGGACTTTTTAAACTGTGTTTACAGGTTAATCACCCTTCCGGATCGCCTCATTTCAATGACGTACAGTCTCAGTATGTACTAACATCCTATAATTAGTGAAATGATGGTGAATGAGTTAAGTATTGTGGGATATATAACTTGATAGGCGGTTGCATGGCCCTATGATAGAGCAGTTCTGGTATTGGTATACAAATAACATGGTGAGGGGAAACGGAATAAATGTATTATGGAGAAGTAGACGGGCAGGTTGGGCTTGGTGTTATATTCTTAAACGTCTTGTAAACAAAATATATGGCCTCTAGGTGATATAGGTTAACGGAATCATGTGCATGTGTGTGCTTGTTTGAGGCAGGGGAAGGGGCAGGGGAGTGCTTGGTTTATCTGGATTACGTCATTTAGAGGCGGGGTCACCTAGTATCAGCTGGTGGCTACCTCACTGAACACTATACTGGAGGCCCGTCTCATGACATCCATATAACAATTAAGGTAAAATACCTTGTCCAAGAACAAAACCACGTACAGCACTGACGAATCCATTTTTCATTTGTCTGAGAAAAACCGGCGAACTGCCACGAGAGAGTCGAACCATACACAGGGGATTTGATGAAGATGTATAAGGTTGAAGGAAGTGGGCTGAAATAGTATGGGTTGGGAAAAACAAACAAACTATAGATATTTGTATGTGTCTCATCTATATTAACCCATGTGTCACCACTGATACGCGTGTCACTTCCTTATGGTATAGGATGGATGGGAATACGACGGATATTTGTACTCGCGTTAACGGTAGAGTGGCGTGATCTGTAGATCAGTCGATCCTCGTCTGATCAGTCACTATGGTTACTGTATATATATATAAGTTACATAAAACGTGTTAGAGGGAAAGTCTGATCACAATAGTCCAGAACATCACGGGTATGTATATATATATCATAATCTATGGAATCTAGTAAGTAATTTCGACGGTATGGTCCAATATTGGTACTGGATCCTAACAAACAAATGTTCGTTGGATGCGTATTACTGGAATAGATATATGATCAATGAAGTAACAGTGCGGACAAGAGAATTGTCATTTTTTTGAGGCATTGATCGTATAACATAATTTATAGTATAGGAGTCCTTTCTCCTTCCTAAAATAGTCACCGATCGCGATATTAGGTACTGTCTTCTGATAGCTAATATCTCTAAAACATTAATCATTACATATATCAATGTAGGTGTTTCGGTTGCAGTTTCCCAATGAAAGTCGAAGCATTGTTTATTTATTAGGTTCAACAGTGGCTTTTGCTGATATTTAAAAAAAAAATCGTTTTACAAAACAACAAATTTTAACAACAACAATAACAACTTCATTTGGAATCATGCCAATGTCAATGATAACCCTTAGGAGAGCGAAATAGCTGTATAATTTGTTATTTGGGTGTACTGTATCTAATTGTATTGAAATGTGTTATTCACCTGTTTATTATTATTTTTTTTACAATCATAGTTTCAAATTCCTTGTGATCTGCTACGTCACTCGTTCGTGTAATATACAGTTAAGTACAGCGCATATACAAAAATTAAAAAGTGTGGTTAGTAATATCGATGGTGTAGTCCAATAGACAGACGTACAGTCTGTATCCGATGTACTCGCCCCGGGTGACTGATCCATCTAACTATACACACTAACATCGTTACGTCATCGGATCAGCGAACAGATGAACATTAATGTTTATGCACGTGTATCGCTTGATGCACTGTACAATCTCCGTTATATTATCGGTAACAATTGCTTTGTCACATAATCCATTAGAAACATCG